GCAGTTCAAGTTCTCCATGTGAGCAAGGGGTTTTCAAAGCTTATGGTTTTGTTACATTTCACTGCCTGTGCTTGTTTATATTGTTCTATTCCAGCAAGGGGTCCAGGATGCTTTGGCAAAAGAAGCTCTGGATCTCACACTGGTCCAATTTGCATTTTTTCTTCTGCACATAGAGAACAAAAACAAATTTGCCCATCACAAGCCGACCACCAGATCCGCGCAAGCTCTTTAGTCCTGTTTGCTGCTTTAACTCTCTATATACTAGCAACCATTCAGCTCTTCTACTTCTGTTTTTCACTTAGTTTTTTTCAAGATCTTATCGCTCTTTTGTATTGTTAATAAGGAGCAATCTGTTGGATTGTCAGCATGAGAAAGCCCCAAATACATATTTTATAATTATTAATTTGATTTAAAATATATAGTTCTTTAAAATGATTTCTCAAGTCTGTTTCTAAAAAATGGATAGTGATTTAAAAATCCCAACTACATTCACCATGTGGAAATATAAATGTTGCTTGAAGAAGGCTGGAGAGGGGTTTTATAGAGATCCTAATGTTTTAACATAAATAGCCAGTTACCTAGACAGCACTGAGAAATGACTGCAATACATACCTAATTCCGAGACATATTTGGATGTTAGCCACTTGAATTGGTTTATTTTAATTAAAAAATGTATAGTTATTTTCCTACATGGATTCTAAGGTTAAAATGAACCAGAACTAATGTTTTCTATTTGTACATTAGAAAGTAAGAAGGCATTTTGGTTAGGTTTGGAAGACAATTGTGTTAGATATACATTTTCAGAAAGTGTCTCAAATAGTCCAGGCTGGCTGGGAATTTGATAACTAGCTGAGAATGACCTTGAACTTCTGATTCTCCATCTACTGACTGCTAGGGTCACAGGTATGCTCAGTCAGACCTGGTTTATGAAGTATAGTTTAATGCATGCCAGGCAATCATCCCCCCAAATGACCTACACAAGACCTTCTTTATAGACATTTTGGAAAAAATGTTTTTACCTTTGGTAAATGGTTTCTATCAGTGCTATGCTGAGAGGTGGCAAGTCAGGGTAACATTTGTTTCCTTGATTACCTATACCAGAAAGCTAAGTATGTAGCAAAGTTTCTGAACTGTGTAGTTAATGTGTTATTCTTATATCTTATCTCAAGTAATCTGAGGTCCATAGCTGTTATCTAATATCTTAATCATACTAACTATTTTCAGTGTTTATCAATGTTTATTTTCTGTCTCAGATGAGAATATATTTCCCTGGGTTCACTAGGCAGTTAAGCTAGGATAATTGGTGAACTCTGGGCCAATGTGACACTGTTTTAGGCATGAGGAACACGACACCTAAGGTTTTCCTCTGGACTCCACACATGTGAGCACACAAGTGCAGAAACATTTATACACACATAAAGAAGTATCAGATAATAGCAAAACCCAAATGATTCACATGTGGCATATATCCAAATAGTATCACTATTGCCATCAATGAGATATTAATTATTAATAAGACTAATAAAAATGTAGTACGAGCACTTGAGCTAATTCAGCTAGGCAATTAATCATTTTTCATGGTGCTAATGATGGTGTTTTCTGGCCTCTGCACATCGTGTACCTATCAACAATAATGAAAAATTTGAAATTCTAAGTCAATGGAGTGTTTGTACAATGGCTCAAATCATAGGAAGAGATGTTTACTGACACCTTGCACTACTTCCCAAACTGTATTTCTTGGCACCCAGTCTTTTATCATGCCTATAAAGAGAAAAATACTCTATTATAAAACATTATCTGTATTATGTATTTTAATTTAACTTCAAACTTCATTTCAATACGCAATGAATATAAAAAATCAATGAGTGTTTTAGGGGAGCCAGTACTTTAAAACAGGATACTGTTGAGTCTAGCCACATGTCAGAATTCTCAGTGAGCACATGGCATATGTTACTTATTGGATAGCACACTCCAAGTATTAACAGTAATTAGTTGAATTAAAGAGGGTTGATTTGTAGAGTTTTCTAATAGATTTTGCAATGATCAAAGGTTTTAAATGGGTAGAAATCTGTTCTGTGGGTTTGAAAGAATTTTTATTTCTTATTTTGATGGGATATCAAAGAGACATATTAGTTGAAAGGTGACAAGCTCCATTCTTCTTTCATATGATCTAATTAATGCAAACAAATTAATGGAAAGTTCTCTGTTAATGCATCTGAGATGGGAAGAAAAGTCAGTGGTTTTGTGATAAGTAGTTAAAGTCTTCAGCCTGTGTCAGCCTCCTTGTAACCATGCACATGACTGTGAAACTATCTTCTGTGTTTTAAGGTTTTTAAGTAATGCCTCCTGCTGGTGCAGTCTCTTCACACTTCACTGCACTTCCAAATAAGCGACCCTGCAGCAAGGAAGATTTCATGTGCTGAAGGCTCTGTACCAATTCTCCCCAAATCCATCTATTTAAAAGACAAACGAGTATTATTCACACTTCTAATTTTGGATCCACTAAAGGCATTTGGAGTTGGGGGAGAAATAAGATGCCTGCTGTTCAACTTTCTTTTCCACAAATTCTCTTTACTGAGAGCTTGCATGTTTCTTGCTAAGTTTCCAAAGCACGTTAAATTCCTACTAGAAACTGAGTAACTATAGCACACTATGTAAATAGGAGCCATGAGCAACCGCTCTAAGATGAAAGATGGATACCAGTGCAACCGCCATAGTTGTGAGTGGAGTGCACTATGCCAACAACAGGGACAGAGCAGGATCAGGAGTGGAAAATCCAGCAACACAACACGTTCTTTGAAACGCTATGGCTTCATTCCTGGGTTCTGAATCTCAGCTTGATAAAACTCACTGAGCTGAATGATACCTGTTTGTGAGGCTGTTCTCCACTTTGGAGGATGATTAGAAGAATTTCCATCTTCCCTTCATTAGCAACCACGATCCTCCACAACTCAGTTAAAGAGTGACATGTTAAACATACCTCAAAATTCCCAAATGTCCCCTGGGGAAACAAGACTTGTCTCAACTGAGGGCCAAAGCTTTATTCAAACTCTTAAGTTAGATATTTAAAATATATCATTGTCTTTAAGGTCAGTGCCAAGTTAACTGATTTGATAACTTCATAGACTTTATGTACTTGTAAGAGTTTACAGCCTTTGGGAAATGCAGTAGGTCAAATGATATTCTTTATCTCCTGCCATGCCTTCTCAATCTCAGTGGGTTTTATATTTCACCTTGTCTTCCAATTTAATGTTAAATACTTTATTTTTTCTGGAATTGGTTTGTGTACGAGAATCTCAACTTTCATATCAAATCAGTTGTTACATACATCAACAACAAAGGAAAGGTAGTTCCCTGAACTCTCTTAGATATATGTTCAAGTTTACTGAAATTGATCTACAATGACCCACACTCCCTAAATAAAGTACATAGATTATGTCACTACCATCAATGTGGAAGAATTAGAAGAAAATTTGAGAACTCACATCTTAAGTAATACCACAAAGCTCTCCACCTCCATAAAATATGGTGAATAAACAAAATCTCAAAACAAACTTTGTGTTTTTTTCTTTGTTCCCTTAAAGTAAGCCCAGACAAAGCATTTTAGCACATCTATTTGATGTTATATGAAACATTTGGATAGTTAAAAAATAGTAGTATTCGTAAAGAATAGTGTGGATTCTATTCATTTTGCTTGTATATTTTTTGAATGGTAGCATAAGTTGATATAGGAATGGCAACACAGCAGAAACTAGAGTGGGCAGATTTTTCCTTTCCTGCACTTGGTATACATATGAGGGTGTCAACCTTAGTATAAAATCAATTATGTCATTCCTCTGAGGCCCAAAAGATGTAGCATGCTGTTTAAACTCTCTTAGATATATTTTGAGGGTGTACAGTTCATACAAACTTTTGCAACCTTGGTTATTTGCTTTAACAGAAGTTTTAAAGAGTCATTATTCTAAGTACTGATATTAAAGCTGTCATTTGTTGATAAACTCTATGCTAGGCTAAACAAATGCTCACCCATCTAACACGTAAGGGCTGCTTGAGATGAGGTTACAACCTCCATCTGATACGGAAAAGGAGGCTTCTCGTGTTGAAAATTGCTTGTAGAAAATGATGACTCTGGTAAAAATAAACTACCGTTTATACACTTTGAACTCCGAAATTCAAGTTCATTCTGGTTCTGGGAGGTTTCCTGATTCTCAGGTGACTCTGAGACTCTGAGTGAGACCTGGCCTGATTTCACAGGCCTTTGATTTCAAGGAGGCTAATTTTCTTCTTCTTTTTTTTTTTTTTTTTTTTTGTCAAGGCAGTAGAATTTTGCCAAGAGAAAGAAAGAAGGTAGGAGAAGGAACAGAAAGAGGAGAAAGAAAAAGAGGAGCAGAAGAAAGAGGAAGAGAAGGAGGGGGAGGAGAAGGAAGAGCGGGGCGAGGGGAGGAAGAGGAGGAGGAAGACATTAAACAGTTGTTCAAGTTGGAAGAAGCTGTGGAGAGAGGTGTAGATGGAATGGAGTTGGAAACAGAAACAAATCCTGAGATTCTTGTAGTAGAAACTTTCCAGTTTAAGCTGGTAAGGAATTGTGTATATGTTATGACATGTCCTACCCTGTGTAACCATGTGTTTAAGCCTTTAGAGACCCATTTGAATATTAGGGCTCTAGGTATACCAATATGATCTAGTATTTAAAGAAAACTGATCTTTTCTAACTTTAAAAGAAAAATGTCTGTGTTGAACTTAATGGGTCCTTTAAGGAATTTTATAAGATGTTTTAACTATATTTTCATTGTCCCTTCATGATTTCTCTAAAACCTAAGCCCAGAATAATGTAATTCAATCAGTTTTGTCTATATGTAAACATACTAGGAAAATAAAGGGTAAGGTTTGGTTTTGAGGAGAGTGTCAGCCTATAATTTTACAACAAGAAAAGTAAAAGCAAAAACCCTAATTTTCATGGTATAATTTAAAAATAGCAAACTAGTATTTTTCTCTTTCAGGCCATTCCTGCTAAATATGAATATGTTTTAGAAGACTACAGGATGAATGCAGTTCAGACTGAGGCAAGGACATGCTGAATGGTAAATATTTTAATCCCAAACTTAAGTGTCCAACAGAAGATCAATAGTGAAAACATTTGGGTTGTAGCCCAATCTCAGAAACTATTTATTTGAAATTTCACTTAACTTTAGTTATGATATTTTACAAATAATAGTATATATATATTTCATCTCTTCTAAATGTTAAGTACAAATGGACTATAATTTATCCACATGTTCAACACTATATGTCTACAAAAGGAGAACACTGAAATAGAACAAAACTGTTACTAGCAATGGGAATTCAGACTTGTTTCCCTGAGTGTTTAGTTATATAAAGCAACTCATCTGTGAAATTGGAAATATGTATTGGCTTTGACATAAAAAACTATAAAATCTGATTGAATAGATTACATTTATAGGGTGTCATGTCTACCAAACCATTATTTCAACAGGAAAACATCTTATTATTTCTGATTTAATATTATGTCAGTTTTACATAAATGCTGTATGTTTTCATGTCTGGACTGTAGTTGAGAAGTATAGACACACACATCACAGTATAAACTATATTTGATCAGCCCTCTCCTCTCTAGGACTTTCTTCTACTTGTTCAAGGAAAATGCTAGCTGGTATTATTTAAAACATGGAACAATACATTAATTGAATTCAGAGTTTCTATTTAGAAATTTGTTAGCTTAAACAAATCTCTGTTGTTTTATGACAATTGTCTTTGTGCAAGTAGTATTGACTGACCCCTTTTCTAGCTATGGATTTAAACTAAAATCCATTTGTGGGTGTGCAATACAGAGCTTTAAAACTTAGTAAATGATGGGCACTTACCATCACCATTGCAAATATTTTAAATTTAAAGGTAAAAACCAAGGCTTAAGTAAAACAAAGAAAAGATTAGTAATAGTAATAAAAGTATAAGCAGAACACAAATACATTCATTTTATTATGTTTAGACTAGCCTTTTCTTTTACTATTCTATTATAAGCTATGGCCAACACATGTGTATAAGAACATATGAATAACAGCATCAAAACTGTGTGTCAAACAGGTTAAGTTCCACCTGAAAAAAAGTTTGAAAATGAGACTATACTATTTATTTTTTTAAAATCCCACAAATCTACATCCTTAATATTGACTTAGTTTAAATGTTCTATGCATCCTAGTTCACCTCTTAGGATGATGCTTTCCCCATAATATTTAATACTGCATAAGGTTTCTGTAAAATTTCTTTTTGATCTTGTGAAAACTACTGAATGAAGTCTAAAGGATATTTCACTTCCATAACAGAGCCTTCTTCATCATTTAAGTATAATATGTTTAAGTAAAGATTGAACATGTTTTAACTCTTCCAGAATACATTTTCACCAACACCCTTATTCCTTCCCTTCTGTTACTCTTGCTCTCTCTTTCCCTATCCCCGTTCTCTCTCTGTTCTTTTCAAGTATAATATATAATTTGAAAGGACAGGGAGAGAAAAAGAGAAGAAAAATGGAAAAGAGAAGATGACTAAGGGAGAGGAGGGAACTTTAACATAGAATTTCTTTTCTTTCTGTTCTATGCGCTAAAATTGGCATATTCTTTATAAAAGATTAACACGATCTCTCAGACTATTTTCTAGTTCAAATTATTTGGTCTTCCCAATTAATTGTAGAGCAAGGAGGTATGAAAATCTCACTTCAATGTGTGATCCTGTTTTTTTTTTTCTTCAGATTAATTCTTTTTTGGCAGTGTGGACTAAATGTGTATGGAGGAGACTACTTTATGTTAAATCATATTAAATCTGGGACTGTTATTTTAGCAACATTTGTTTCCTTCTTGGAGCAGTAAAGTCTAAAAGCAGAGAAAGGCAATCTGAGTGCATATTTCGTAGGCTTCTTATTCATTATTCATGCATGCCATTAGAAACAGAAGGAATGTATACACAAGGACACTCGTTCAGATATGTGTTCTGAGCAGTATATGAAGCCTCTACCTCAAAGGTGCTCTTTCAGTGAGTTGAAATGTTGTTCACTGAGGATAGCAGAAGGCCTTCCTTGGCAAGGTATTACAGTAATGCCCCTGAGGGTCCTAAGATCCACTAGAGTTTAAGTTTCCACCCTGTGAATTAGGTCAACAGCACTTCCTCCTAAAATAATTTGAGTGAGAGTTGTCTTTGAGAAGTTTCAAACTAGGTTTGCTCTATGTGTTTCATAAACCTTTAAAATGTAAAATAGGAAATAAAGTTGAAAGCTATTCAATTTTGGGGCATTTACAGCACTTTTTTTTTTGAGTGAAACAGGATTTATGATTGTTGCAAGAATGTGTAGCTGATTCAGGGCTTTAACTTAGTGGATGTGCACAGAAAAGTTTGTGGTTACTTAATCAAAATTCATTTATAAAAATGAGGGGTATAGCTTCTTCTTCTACAACAACAAAAAGTGATTATTGTTATAGCTCTTTTTGTATAACATTTACAAGAAAACAAATAATGTGGGTGTGAAAGCACAGCATGCAATTTAAGAATAAGGCTGTAAATATTTTTTCATTAAATTATGTTTTTCCGTGACGTGTACAATTCGAATAATGAATAAGACCTTAGTAATGAAGCTGATAAAGCTGAATGTTGAAGTGACTTCCTTTTTCCAACTTCTACATGTATCTTAGACTTGTATTTATCAACTTAAGAATACACTTTCCAGAGTTATCCACTGCTCATGATGTATACTGTCATTGTTGGAAAGATTGCAACAAAATTAAATAATTTTATATCTATTATGTATTTAATAAACTGTGCTTGAACAACTGGGAATCTTGGGCCCCAGTATTAAGACAATCTGTATAACTCCAATTTGAGAATACATCATCAAGGAATTTTTTCTGTGCTGAGATTCACCATTCCACTGATGTGTAGTTGCATGGTGATTAAAAGTCACTTAGCCATTTTCTTATTAAGCTGAACAATGGTCATAGCACTTGAGAAGGAATGGATTTATTATGAATTAGAAACGTGTAAGCCTGGCATTTAGAAGATAACTTTAGAAGTGGTCATCTGCTAAAAACATTTAAGCCTTATAGTATATGTTGTAGAAAAAAACATTTATGTTTTCTGCATGAGCTTAATAATTTCAAATTCCATTAATTATTTTGAAAACAGTTACAAATAAATACACATTATGTTCCAGCAACGTTTTGAGTTAATCTGCATTTTTTTTGCTTTTATGCAATTTTAATTACATGCAAGTATTCTAGGTTGAGGGTCTAGCAATACAATAGATGCAAATAGTCAAGGAGCAAACAAGACAATAAACACAAATAGTCACAGAACAAGCAAGGCAAAGTCCCATCATCAATTCCTGTGATCACTGTTTCTAAGGGCTTATCAGGATAACCAAAATATTTGAGCCTACTTCCCTGTCCTAGTCCAAAGTCATTTTCATGCCTGAATCCTACTTCTTTGTTCTAGCCTAAGATTTAGATTCCTGCCTGAAATTACTTCTTTGTTCTAGCCAAAGATTTAGATTCCTGCCTGAAGCCCATTTCCTTGACCTTGGCTAATGTCAGATTCCTACCAAGCAGCCCCAAAAGCTCTCCACATCTCCCCCTTTTTTATTTCATAAACAAGATTGAGTCTGTCTTAGGTCATTATGACAAGAATGTCTTCCTTACCCATCATGGAATATGTATTATTAAAAGCAATACACTTATGTCTTAGGTTGGTAAGGCTCTGTGCAGAATCTTACCTGTCCTTGGCTTGCCAATCTGTTAAATTAATAACTCTCTATGGGGTTCTATTTTCAAGTTGTTAAAGACAATCTTTAGCATGATGGGCAGGAATAAAATTATTCCCAGGACAAAAAGGGCTAGCGTGATCAAGCTGTATATGCCATTCTTGAAGCTTGACTAAAATGGAAATACTGACCTCAGGCCATGGATAATTTTATCCTCAGTATCTGATTATGAATTTAATCTACATTTTAAAAACAGTAAACATGGCTGGGGAGATGGCTCAGTAGGTAAAGGCTCTTGCTGTCAAGCCTGACAACTTGATTTCTACCCCTGGACCCACATATTAGAAAGAGAATGAGTGTCTGTAGGTCCTGTGAACATCATCACACACATTGAAATACAAATTAGCAAATAATCACTGTAATTACAGGATTTAAGTTTTTTCGTATCCTTTGTTAAAGCTAGCAGATGTTTTAAGCTTAAAATCAATAAGATAAAGAACAACTGTTATGACTATCTTGAAATGAGTAACCACTGTATGGTTACTTGAACTCCAAATGAGCATCATCTTTTCGATGCTTTTTGTAACCCTGAAGCCACAGTCCAACCTCACTTCCCCCTATGTGTGCTGAAACTGCCTTCAATGTGATGACTTCCAAACTGTGGACTGAGATAGAACTCAGAGACAGGAGGAGTATGATAACTCAAATGCTCTTGTTATATTTAGTTACAGAATATTTAGATCCAGAGAAATACAATTTAACACTACTTAAACCTTTAAGAAAAGAAAAGGAAAATATTGGCTTTTTAAGACCTGACTTCAAATACATTAACAATTAGGTAGGACATTTGTTTCACATTATTGAAGACAAATATATTTATATCCCTATGTTTTTTATTCACCATACTGTATAGCAAGAATGGTATCTTGAATTATTAGTTTTGAAATACCATTTACTGTTTTGCCATAAAGATGTACTTATATTATCTGTACCTGATTTAGGTATAGGAAAAAAAAGAAGTTCCAAATGAATTCTAAGATTGTGGAGAAAGACAGTTCTTTCAAAGAGAGTGGCTTATGCCATAGCTAAAGAATAGAGTAACTTGGGGTCTACTGTGTGATTCTAATTGATTCTCATGCACAGCTCTTAATTGTTTCCCACAATGGAAACTTTTTTCTGCAACTGTCTGTCATTACGTTCATGTGAATCAGACATGTGACTCATGAGGTTTTGGGTACCAGATGGTTATGAGGAATGAAGCACAGAGAAAATTCATGACTCTTTGTTGTCAGAGATGTCATAATTCAATAACAGTAATCT